TTAGGTATGCGATACAGTCACATTCTTCATTGGGATCTTGTATTGTTACATGATGTGTCTTCGTTCTTATGTTTTTTCCCCCATTCCCCTGCCCTCCCTTCACCCCCTCCACCCCTCCCTATTTACAAAACCTTTGTTTCCATTTTTTTCTTTTCTCATATTTTTTCTTTTCCCTTCTTTCCTTTCCCTACCATCCCACTTCCCCTACTCCTTTAGACCTTTTCTTCCTATTTCACAATATCAATTATACATTTCAATCCTTATTTACACTTTTAGTTTTTCACACCAGAGAGACTATTCGGTATTTACACATGTGTGTCCTATTTATTTCACTTAAGAGTATGGCCTCAATGTGCATCCATTTAGCTATAAATGTCTCTAGTTTCTCTTTCTTTATGGCTGAGTAGTACTCCATTTTATTTTTTAAAAAACCCCACATCTTCTTTATCCAGTCCCCAGTTGATGGGCATTTGGGCTGTTTCCAAGCTTTAGCTATTACAAACTGTGCTGCTCTAAACATGGGTGAGCATATATCACCATGGTATGATTCTTTTAATTCTTTGGGGAAGATACCCAGTAGGAGAATAGCTGGGTTAAATGGGACTTCTAGTCCTAGTTCTTTGAGCTATCTCCATACTGATTTCCACAGGGGTTGCACCAGCCTGCACTCCCACCAACAATGGAGAAGGGTTCCTTTCTCCCCACACCTGCGCCAGCATTTGTTATTGGTTGATTTCTTGATAGCAGCCACTCTTTCTGGGGTGAGGTGGAATCTCAGTGTTGTTTTCATCAGCATCTCAAATGACCAGTGATGTTGAACATTTTTTCATATGTTTATTTGCTGATTTTACTTCTTTGTCTGAGAAATGTCTGTTCACTTCAGAGGCCCATCTTTGAATTGGGTCTTTATATTTGGGGGTCTGATTTTTTTTTTTTTAGTTTCTACATACTCTAGATAGTAGACCTTTGCCTGGGGAACAGCTGGTAAAATTTTTTTCTCAGATTGTAGGTTGTCCCTTAGCTCTGTTGGTGGCTTCTCTTGCAGTGCAGAAGCTTTTTAATAAGATGAGATCCCAGTTGTTGATTCTTTGTGCTAGTTCCCATGCTACTGAGGATTTGTTCATAAAGTCTTTTCCTATGCCAATGTCTTCAAGAGTTCTACCTAACTTATCTTCCAGCAAGTTAGTGTTTCTGTCTTAAAATTTAGATCTTTAATCCACTTCGATTTTAGTTTAGTGCATGGTGGAAGATAGAGGTCTAGTTTTAATCTTTGGCAAGTTGAAATCCAGTTTTTCCAATACCATTTATTAAAGAGGCTATCTTTCCTCCAGTGAGGATGGTTGACTCCTTTGTCAAAGATGAGGTGGCTGACTGTGTCTGGAGTTGTTTCTGCATCTTCTAATCTGTTCCACTGATCCTCGGGTCTTAAACAACCTAATATTGAACCTCAAACTTCAGAAGTCCTCCCAGGGACAGCACCATGTGCAGCTGGAAAGCAAACTTTAATAAGTTGCTTGGAGAGGGGCTGTGAGATCTCCGCAAGGGGCATGCTTGAGTAACAACAAATGGTCTCCAAAGCACATTTCCTGAACAGCATGCCTGCCTTTTGAGTGCTGTAGCCTTTTTTCCTGGGGTTGACATTTTAGTCCGCTGCAGATTTTCACCAGGCCTCTCAGAGTGGGGAAAGCTGCTGGCTCCAGAAGCACCTGGGAGCCTTTTACTGCCTTCCTACAGCAAGAGCACAAGGTTCCACCTAGGAAGAGGAGCAGGTGCTGGGGAGGAGGTGGCAGAGAAGAGCTCATGTGTGTTCTCTTCCCTGCCACTTGTGTTTTTGCTGGGTGATCCAAGGTGCAGATGCTTGGGCTTTGTTGTGCACTGTTTTCCCATCTACCTCCTCATTTCAGGCTTGCCATGATTCCAATGTTTAACTAAGTCTCTACACCATTATTTCACATCTTGGAACCCCAAAATGTTAAAACGCTTTTGTGGTAAACAAAACATTTTCTTTTCTTTTCTTTTTTTTTTTTTTTGGTACTGGGGATTGAACTTGGGTCCTTGCGCTTGCGCAGCAGGCAGCGAAACCACTGAGCTAAATCCCTGCCCCAACAAAACATTTTCAATAATTGCTCAGGAGTTGTTGGAAAAAAACAAGCCATTCTCTCCATCTTTATATTTGCAGTGGGACTGTCTTTGGTCATCTTTTACTTTTTGTACTGTGGTAGCTAAGGGTGTAGTCTTTCCCAACTGCCTGAGTTCAAATCTTGACTTTACGCTTTCCAGCTGGGCAGCATTGGCCAGATTATGTAATGTTTCTGTGCCTCCCTTATCTGTAAGAGAGAGATGATACTGTTATTATCTGCACCATACAGTTTGAATCAGTTCATACAGGTGATGCATTTAGAGTGACGTTGGCATATACTAGATGCTTCCTAAGTATCCAGCTACAAAAATTTTGCATGCATTAGCATGGGTAATTTTTAAAAATTTTTATCTTTTGAGATTCTAGCTGTCAGCTCTAGAGTGATGTTTAGGAAAGGCTTTGGAGAGATAAGTCACTTTGGCCTCCATCCTGACTATCCCTCCATGTAAAGTCTATCACCCTACAAAGAGATGAGGATGGGCTGGGGCTCTCCAGAGGTTCAGAGGAGTAAGGTACTGCACAGTTCTCTGCTAAAGTTGTAGGGGTGTTCAGATGCATTTGCAGAAAATAAAATAATATCCTGCATGTTAGCACATGTCACATCAATCATTCCCAACACCCTTCTGGGCAGCACAATGACACATAGCCTAATGGTATATTGCAGAACCACCAATGAATTTTTAAAAATGCAGTTCATGTACGTCATCTGAGTAAAGTTCCAGTCTTTTTTTTTTTTTGCAGTATCTGCTGATGAGTTTTTATTACTTTTAAACAGAAAAAGTTATGTTACAATGAATACATTACTTTGTATTACTGTATGCAAATAGGTAAATATACTGATGATTCTGAGAGCCAGAGTTTTTACATGTAACTGTGTAAAGAAAAAAATATGATGTTGCTTCGTGGATTAGCTAAGTATATAGATGTGACATATATGTCAACTGTAGCATTAATAATGAGAAGAGGAGAAATGGTCCCATATACTTGTAAGGTTTCTACGCCATTTATTTATTTATTGGTACCAGGGATTGAACTCAGGACCTTGTGCTTGTGAGGCAGGAAGCGGTACCACTGAGTTAAATCCTTGGCCCTTCTATGCCTCATATTAAGCGGTATAATATTAACTCTAATGGTGAAAGTAAAGAACTTATTTTGTCAAAATAGATTTTTAAAAGTAAGACTTATAAACATTTGCAACTCATGCATTTATATATAAACATAAAAATAAAAGAACAGGTGAAGAGAAAACATAAAAAAGCAGCTATGCTATAATCAAATGAAATAGATTTCGAGACAGATTACTAAATGTGTATAAATATATTTCTTAGTAAGCAGATTTAATATTTAATGGTAAATCTTTGTTTTTGTTAATAAAGCCTTATTAGAACACAGCCACAAATATTTTCTTAAGTATCTGCTTTTGTGCTACACTTGCAGGACTGAATAGTTATGACAGAGACTTTATGTGTCATGAGGCCTAATATAACAGCCCTAACACAAGACAGATTCTCTTTACATTCTTAAGATAATTAATCTTTATGACATACAGGTAAATAGTCCCCAAAGAATGCTAATGTGATAACATCACCTTAAAACACAGCATTACATCTTTATTATTTTTTGTCCTGGTGTTATTATTTTTGCAGTACTGGAGAATAAACCTGGAGCCTTGTGCATGTCATGCAAGTGCTCTACCACTGAGTTACACTGTCAGCCCCTTTAATTTTTTTTTTTTTTTAAAACAGAAATATTTAATCTTTTCCTCATACATTAGAACTTGCTTTATCCTCAGGGCACAGTTTGACATGTGCATGCACACTCATTATTCACCTCATGATGCATTCACCGCAGGAGAAGCGGAAATTCTAACCTCGATTAACGGTCACTCTGAAATCTAACACTAATTCTATCTTGTGACTTACTCCAAATTCTTCTCTCTTTTTTGGTACTAGGAATCAAACTCAGAGACTTGCGCTTGTCAGGCAGATGCTGCACCACTGAGCTACATTCCCAGCCCTCCAAATTTTTCTTTACCATAGTGGTTTTTTTTTTTTTTTTGGTGGTACTGGGGATTGAACCAGGGCCTCCCACATGATAGGCAAATGCGCTACCACTAAGGTGCACCCCCTCCTACCATGATCTTTCTTTTTCAGGGGAGAGAATTATTGATAGAAGTGTAGCCAAGAATGAATCTTTCCCACCATAACTGCAAGAGCCCAGTGTTCTCAGTCAACCCATCCACCGACTTCCATAAAGATGGTATTTGGTGTGCTCAACGTGCACCCAAGATTTCCCCTTCTCCTAATACACTGTACCACCAAAATCTCTGAATTCCCTGAAGCTCAAAATCCCAAGTATCACAGCCAGTGCCAGGAGTCAAACTTGAAGATAAAAGCAGAGAGATGTTCCCCTCTGCCAGGGCTGCTTTGCAATAATAATAATAATAATAATAATAACAACAACAACAACAACAACAATAACAACAACAACAACAACATCATCATAATAATAATAAATCCTGGTTCTACCACTCAGGAAAAGGATTATTCCTCCCTTTGCCAGTTCTGTCCCCCTTCCCTCCTCGAGGGTGGCCAACTGAGGGGGTCTAGGGGTACTGTGCAGACTTGGCACCTGCCCTCAGTAAGCACGCTGGCAGGAGGAAAAGACCCAAATGGGAAGATGCTTGCACACAGGGTCCCAGGGGTCCTCTGGGAACATGCCACTGACCTCAGAGCACCCTAGTGCCCATCTTGAGTCCAGGCATCACTGAGCCATGCCCTGGCCCTGATTGAGTCCCATGACAATGAGGCTGTCACAGTCTGTCAATAATTTGCTCACCATGTCCCTGTCCTTGCTGCAGCCAGAGGCCTTCCACCACAGCCCAGTCCATTCCAGCCAAGAAAAGAATCAATGTTTCTGATTCTCCTGTGTGATCCCAGTCACAGGTAATTTCAGCCTTTCTAAGTCACCTTTGGGGAGTGTTTGAGGTGGACTCCTATTGTTTGAAGTAGGGTTTCTTTTCACAGTCAGTTCATCCTTTTGGTTCCAATGTGGAGGTGTCTTTTATTTTCTTCTGAAACAGCTTTAACCAGAGGTCCCTGTGCAGGTGGAAGGAGAAGACTGCTTTTGATTCTTCCAGACAGAGGCTGTGGTAAGTAAGATCCAACAGTCTGTGCTGCTGGGAATGTGCAGGTGACTATGGAGACAGCCGCAGAGGGACGAGTATGGGCATATGGTCCTCATTGGCACAGCGCAACAAAGTAATTAAAAATGTCTTAAAATGCAGAAAGCCCCCCAAACTGTAAAGTATATCATGGTAGATGTCAAATTAGCATTTTCTGCCTCTTTTAAACAATGCCATAATCTCATTAATCTACAGAAGGAACTAAATGCATGGACTCTAACCAGTTGGCTGGACATATGTCGTACATTGGACTGGCCATTTGGCTGGATCAGATTAAAGTGGAGAAATTGCATTTTTTTTTTTGGACACTGAATACAAATCTGGGCTTGCTTATTACTTTTTGAGCTCCCTTTTTAAAATGATAGGTTTTTAAGTGCCAAAAATTCAGTACCAACTTAAGTTAAAAAAATAAAAATAAAAAAGGCTGTAAAGAAACTCCACAGAGATAAAGAACAAAGGATTGGAGATGGAGACTCTGGAGAAGTCTGATTTCAGATTCGGGGGCTATATTGAAATAGCAGCATGCACATTCATAATATTACACATTAGAATTGTCATATCAGCATGATCTGGCTCACTTATGGGCAAGGTGGCTCGGTTGATTGTTTTATTTTGAATGAGATCATATACTAGTAAGTCTTTTAGCACACTGCTTTGTCTTAACATTCCTTATTAGCTGCCTCAAGTGATGGCACACAACTGTAATCCTAATACTCTGGGAGGCTGAGGCAGGAGGACCACAAGTTTGAGTCCTGCATGGGCACTTAGTGAGATCTGTCTCAAAATAAAAAGTAAAAAGGGCTAGGAAGCAGCTTAGTGTGAAGGCCCTGGGTTCAATCCCCAGTACCCCCTCAATCATCATCATTAAGAAATATGAAAATTTATACATCTTCCAATTTTTCTTGAAAACAAACAAATGCATATTGTTTGCCTGCATGGATGTACCCACTACTATTTCCTGACCATACGGCACATGCTCAAAGCATTGTCCTAAACACTGTAAAAACACAGACTTGAAAATGACTCTCTAAGGCTTTGTAGTTAGGACAAGTTCATAGCTTAGCACTATAATTGATCAAGGTGGTAGCATCTTCAAGAACAAGCAAATTTCGATGTGGATTCAGAAGAGGGTCAGTTCATAGCAGCTGTGTGTTTGCTGGTGGGAGTGGGTGGGTTGGGGTAAGCAAAACCGCAGGAAAGAGGTGGCTATGAAGAGATGGGAGGATCCTGACAGGCAGGGATGGAAACAGGAAGGTGTATTGACGTTTCTGGAATGAAGGGTGGAAGGTTGGAAACCCCAGGAAGATACGAGTACAGGGGGCACTGAAGGACGTGTTTGGAAAGGCAGAGGTGAGGCCCCACTGAAGGTACAGAATCAACAGTGGATCAAGGAGCGTGCAGGGCACTGGGGGCTACTGCAGTCTTCTGAGCAGAGCAGTGACGAAAACTGGGCCAGGTCTCCAAGGACGAGTTATGATGCAGCAGTGTGTGACGTGGGATGTGTTGAATTGAATGTCAGTTAGGGGAGATGATGGCAAGAGATGCTGAGTCTCCATCTGAGGAAGGCCAGAGAAAACCAGAGGGGAGGCACAGCCAGAGTTATCCTGATAACTGAAGCCACAGGACCCTGAGTGGCTGCTGGTGGGCATAGGATCAGAGGACTTCAAAACTTTATTTATTTATTTATTTATTTAGAGACAGGGTCTCACTATGTAGTCCAGGTGGGCCTTGAACTCACTGTGTAGCCCAGGCTGACTTCAAATTCATGGTGATCCTCCTGCCTCAGCCTCCCAAGTGCTGGGATTATAGGCATCATGTCCAGTGGAAAAATAACCATTTTAAACAATAATAACCATTACACATTTTCAGGCAGACCAGACACTATGAGATGTTCTGTTTGATAAAATGCTCAATGCGCGCGTGTGCGCGCGCACATACACACACAAACACACCTCTGCTAATTAGTGGAGATTCCTTCTTGGAAGGAAGTGGGCAGGCCTGTGTGGACTGCATAGTGTAAAGTTAAATCCCTTTGCTGTACTGAAGATGCCTCTTTGAAAGCTGTCTTCCAGTCCCTTAGACTGAAGTAAACTATGTCAGGAGCAGAATGAGTAGGGCAAGGTAGGGACTGGGCTCATGTTCTGTTTGGGGGCATCCAGCACCAAACCCCAGAGGGAAGACACTCCTTTGACTCCCTAGAAAGATGCAGAAACCTGACAGCAGGGCCAAAAGTCTGAGCTGTCCCCTGGAATTAACAGTGCCCCACATTCAGTGCTCTTCTGTGAGAAGCCTAACGTTTTCCCAAGATTTCTTTTTTAATTTTGCAGTACTGGGGATTGAACTCAGGACCCTCACACTGAATTGTATTCAGTGTGAATACTGAATTTTTATTTGTATTTTGACATAGGCCTCGCTAAGACACTGAATTGCCCAGGCTGCCAAGATCAAACTTGTGATCTGCCTATCTCAGCATCCCGGAGTGCTGGGATTACAGCTGTGTGCCACCATGCCTGTTTATTTTCCCCAAGATCTTGACACGGACCTTTTCCATAAGTTTTACAAGACTCTCTGTCAAGATAGTAGATGGGGAAGGAAAAATGTGTTCAGAAGAGTTTCGAGTATTGCAGTTGCAAGAGCCCTGCAGAATTGCTGTGTGGAATTTTGAAATTTAAGAATGCTGCTGGTGGGTGTGTGTTGCAGGTGGGGGAAAGGGATTTCCCCTAGACAAGATGCACTTTTGACCTACGCCTCAAATCCAGAGTTCAGGTACAAGTCGGCAGGTCTCAGCCTTAGGAAAGATAGCAGCCATTGAGTTTCATTAATCCCTCTTTCTGTGGCAGTAGAATTCTCTCAATGGAAATGAGACCTCTGAGACTCTTGCTGTAGAAACAGTAAATTAGAAATCTATCCATGAAGACTTCCCTGCATTTAATTAAATGATGATCTCTGGGGATTCAGCCATGTGTGGAGTAATAAACCCATCGCAGAGAATGGCTAAATATGTGGACTTTAGTCCACATTTGTTAAAATCATAACAAGATTCTATCGGTATACGAAAGCATTCGGAATTTTGATTATTTTCCAAGAATTATTTCCTAGCATTTTTTTTCTTGATATTATGACTCTGAACTAGACAAACACGAATTCAGTGTGTTTTCTGAGTTCTTATGAAGCTGTCAAATTGACACGACATTTTGGATTTTTTGTTCTTTTGGGGGGCAAGACTACTGAAAGGAGAATCCTTTTCTCTGATAATTTGTGACTAATGACTATGTTGGAAGCATTCAACAAAGCAGTGAGATCTGTTCCTCGTCTTACCGCATCTTTGAGGGTTTTTCCTAGGAACTCTTAATCCTTTTGGTAAAAATAATTTCTGGAGGTCAGAGGAGTTATAATGCATTACACATCCCTTGGGATTTAACTTTACACTTTTACATTTTTCATGAGATGTGATACAACTCCATTTCATGTTTTGAGTGTTTAATTGATTACAATAAATAACAGATTCATCTTTTTGTTATTGTGGCTATCTTCTTTAAAAGTTTTATCTTCTTTCTCTGAAAGGTATTTATTTAGGGACAGCCTGGAAAACTTTAAAAGCCTTTGACAGATTTTTGTAAAAGAATCGCCAAAACACATTCCATATTATAGAAGAAAGAATGAGCTCATTTTGTAGATGAAGAAATCTAATTAACTGAGGCACTGAGTGAACTCACCCCCTGGTGACATAGCATAGCAGAAAGGGCCCAGCTTGGGGGCTCTGGAGAGACATCTAGATCCAGATGCTGGACTTGTCCCTTCTTGTCTGAGTCACCTGGGGAAGGTCTTCTTTTTTTTTTTTTTTTGTATATTTTTTTTTGTAAGGGAAGGTCTTCTTTTGAGAAGAATGTAGAGGCCTAGAATAGTGTCTCATATCTAACTGATGTTTGGTAAATATTAATAGTTGTTAGCATCATTATTATTAATAACTAAAGGCTGTTCCCAGTTTTCATTGTCTCTGGTCAGGAAAGGTAGGCTTGGCTGCTTATTTGGGTGACATTCTTTAACTTGTAACCTTACTCCTGTCCTTCTTATTCCAGGCTCCTTCCTGGTCCATGTGCTTCCGTCCTTTGAAAGCTTGCTTTGATGCCCTTGGACCAGAGCAGCCTATAAAGATATGCTTGGACTTAAAGCACAATTGCTTCTTCCTAGACATGAGCTTTGGAGAATTGAGTAACCTCGAGCTGGAAAGCAGTACACTTTGAAGCTTTAGATCTTGTGTTATTGTGAAGTCCAACTCTGGGAGCCAGTGTAACATACTGATTTCAGACCTGAGCACTGGGGTAAGACTGTGTGTGTCAAAATCTTTAATCCTTAGATAAATGACTTAATCTCCCTTAGCCTCAGTTTCCTTATCTGGAAAGTGAGGTTAATAAAATCTTTGCCTCATAAAGATTAGTTTCAGAATTAAATGGTATTACATGCTCAGCTAGAAATTATAGTAGGTACCCCCCAAAATATTTGCTACTATTACAAGTTGAGTATCCTTTATCCAAAATGCTTAGGATCAGAAATATTTCAAGTTTCAGATTTTTTAAAACTTTGGAATACTTTCCTATATATTATAAGATGTCTTAGAGACGGGTCCCAAGTCTCAACCTGAAATTCATTTATGTTTCATGTAGACCTTGAAGGTATAGCTTGAAGGTAACATCATACAATTATAAAATGTGTTTTGACTGTGACCTGTCACATGAAATCAAGTATGGAATTTTCCACTTGTGATGTCATGTCAGGGCTTAAAAAGTTTTGAATTTTGGTGCATATCAGGCTTTGGATATTTGGACTATGGATGCTCAATGTGTTTTACTATTAAAATTGACCATGGGCAAGTTATTTAACCTCTCAGTATCACTTTTTTTAACCTGTAAAACCAGACCATTATACCTATCTCATTAAAAAAGGGCAGAAGAGGTGTAATAATGTGCATGAAGGATATGGAGATAGTGGGCTCTTGGTGAAGGGAGCTTCGTGTTGGAGAGCCCGCACTGACCAAAGCCCGCCCTGTGGCCCACTTCGAGCCTTTCCTTCTGTGTCTAACTTGAATCGCATTCCCCCCAGAACTGACATCTCTCCGGAGTGGATTCCATTCCAGGTATCACTGCACAACCCAACCCCTGCCAGACTCAGGCCTGCGTAATTGCTTTGCACAAAGACATTGCTCCCAGGGCCCCAGTGAAGGCCTGGCTCATGAGGCTGGTATATTTGATTTCTATAGGTCAACACACAAACATTTGAAATTAAATAAGCATGTTAGTCACAGCAGGTTCAGGTTGCTGTAATTAGCTTCTGTCTGGCCTTCTGCAGCAGCAGGCCCGTGTGTCTTACTCCCTGTGTAGGGAGGCAGCACCAGTCCCAGAGCTCGGAAGGTGCTGCTGCTCAACACATTTGATGTTGATGCTTCAGGACAGATGCTGGCAAAGCCTCTTCCTGTTCGGCTGGTGGGGAGCACAGGGCTTTTTACTTTTCAGGCTTCAGAGAGTCACTGACCAAGTTATTAGGCCTGGCACTGGGTATACAAGGTGGTCTAGATACGGGCCTCAATGGCAAGGAACTGTGATGGGGCAGCTGCCACAGAGGCCAGGAAGCGAACACTGTTCGCATCTCTCTCACAAGCTGTAGGACTGAACCCACTTCAAGTTCAGATCTTCACGGGGGCTTGCTGGGGAAAGGTTCTCCTTTTCAGAAATGCTCTTCTGTGTGTAGGATCTACTTCTTGACCCTGTCACCCACTGCCTGCCCTTGTTCCCTGTTTGTCATTACTTGCTCACCTAGGAATGTGTCCCAGGACCCGCTTTGGTCCTCCCTGCACATGTAGCTGCTCTCATAGCTCAGAAACTGAGCAGCTTGGCCCCCAGCGTGGCTTCCCTGTCTTTCTGTTTCCGGGAAGCTTATCACCTTATAGACTGAATTATAGTTTCTGCGTATCATTACCCTGCAATCTACCAAACTGGCTATGCAGTTAATCATAGTGGTAATGATGATATAATAATGGTAACAATACCTTGGTTTGGTAAAGTCCTTTTGATCTTTTAGAGAAAATTGTATTTATTCTCCCCCCCTCCAGAAAGTGCTACATATGCATAATCATCATCTCCACCACACATTTCTTCAGAACCTACCATGCTTGTTAGTCCTAGAAGTGCAAAGAAGCTTCACACAGTATAGTGTCTGTTTGGCCTCCAAGGTGAGGCAGTATGGAAGCTAAAAGTCAGATGAGCTTTGTACCCTTGGCTGCTATTTACTACTTCTGTGACCTCTAACACAGTATTTGGCCTCAGTTTTCATGTCTGTAATATATGAAGAATAGTTATTCTTTTCTATCATTTTATGTGCATAAATCCCACAAGTAATTTTCATAAATGTGAGCACTGAATTGGGCACTCAGAATTGCTAGGGACTTTGCCAGCATCATCTCTTATTTGCCACAGCTTTGCAAATTCCTGCTGCTTCCATCTTACAGGCGAGGAAACTGAGCCTGAGAGATTTTTCTGGATGTCATGAAATTATAATGCAGAAAATCTGGGACTCAAATCAAGATCTTGTCCATAAACCCTGTTCTTTGCAATGTAGCCCCATAGGAGTTACTAGACACTAAGCCCAAAGGAGTGGTACAAACAGTGAGAACCAGAGAACGCAGAGAAGTGAGTCCAAGAGAAGAGGGCATGGTTATTCTGACCATATTCTCAGTTCCACCTTATTTTTAATTTTATGCACTACTACTTTAGTAAGAATACTATTGCAACTTTTAGTAAGTGATATATAGATATATATATATATATATATATATGTATGTCTGTATGCTATTCCAGACTAATATGCCTTTTTATTCGAGATTACATGTACTCAGACACAATTAGTTTCAGTAAATGCTAGTGTGAAGTATTTGCATTTAAAGTTTTGCTCAAATAAAAGAGGGAAATTTTATTTAAGGAGGAGCATTTTGCTGATGAGAAGGTCAATACACTGTATGATCTTGTGACTCAGTTTTGCATTAGTGCCCTCTGGTGGTAGATTTTGGACTGATCATTCATTTCTTACAGAGTGTAAAGTCTAAAACGAAAAAATCCTGAATTAACCCAAAATCTTCCTAACTTTTACTAAAATATTAACTAGTTAACTCTGGCATCCTTTTCACATACCACACAAAATGTCTTTATAAAATTTTAATGTGTGACTTTTACACAAACATTGGTCATATTGCCTTTAATGGTTTGGGGTGAAAAATATTTTGAAATGAGCTATTTCACATTACGTGGTTTGTCTGGAGACATTCCCCAAAGTCTCTGGATGAAGGCTGAATGTTTCATTTACTCTTAGATGCTTAGGGACAATCTGTCCAGCCTGGCACACTTCCTTCAAACAGCAGCAGCTACCACAATAGCACAAGTTGGAATTCCCAAGGAGGGGCTGCTCTCAAGTCCCTAGACCCAGCCCAAACTTGCAACTCACCTAGTATTGCTTTTGGGCCCTGATTTTATTGTTCATTTGCTCCTAATGTGATAAGTGTTCTTGGAACTTGATGCCCTTCGGTACTTTTTTGATTAATGATGTTAGCTTCCAGTGGCAGTTCTGCCTCCTTTCTTGGAAAGAGTTCTTTATAAGAAGATTTACAAAAGGAATCCTTTCACTACATGATACACTGTTGGTAGGAGGGTAATGAGACTCTTTGGAGGGCAACAGGGCAGTGTCTATTCCACACTTTCACTTCCTGGAATTTATTCTATGCAATTACTCATACATATGTTCAAAGATACGTGTATATGAATGTTCACTCCAGCACTGTTTGTAATAGTACAAAGGGAAAAAAACCTAAAACTCATCATTGGGATATTAATTAAGCAAATTAGGGCTACTTTATCACATAATACATGTGTTTATACTATAGAATCAAGTGGCTGTTAAAAAACAATAAGACAGTGCAGTGTTCGTGACTAATTCCAGCTACTTGGGAAGCTGAAGTGGTAGGCTCACAAGTTCAAAATCAGCCCAAACAACTTAGCAAGACCCTGTTTGAAACAAAATATAAAAAGGACTGGAGATACAGCTTAGTGATACAGCACCCTAGGTTCAATTCCCAGTATCAATCACAAATACTTGTGTAGGTTTATCTATTCATAAAAATATCTGGAAAGAGGGCCGGGGATTTAGCTCAGTGGCACCGTGCCTGCCTCACAAGCGCAAGGCCCTGAGTTTGACCTTTGGTACTGAAAACAAACAAACAAAACAAAATAAAAATATCTGGAAAGATATATATAGAGAGAACTAATACCAGTGGGTAATTCCCCTGGGACTTGGCAGGAGGAAGGAGTAGGATAGGGTGGAGCGATCATCTATCTTCTCCTTATGAAATTCAGGAGTATTTGAATTTTTAACAAAGCATATATGAATTTTGGAATTGAAAAAGAAAAAATAATGCTTTACGTTAACTTCCATAAAAGTATTTAAAATAGATTCTACTGATAAAATAGATAACATAAGCATTTCAGTTCCATTCTATCACCCACTCCCAGCACGACCTATTGCAGTCATACCATATTTCTCATATCTAATTTGGTTAACACTCCTTGAGTTTACCTCAGGGGGATCTGAATGCTAACTAAAGTGTATGAAAGCAGACAGCCAGCAGTGCGGGCAAGCGAGAAGAAAGGTGATACAGCCCAGTTAAGCATGGTAGTAAATTAGGAAGTGTAGTAGAAGAAAATCCAATTCTGCCATCCAAAAATAACATCTGGAAGATTCTCTAGATTTCAGGCTGGAGCCCCATTCCCTAGAGAAAGGCGGTCCCTCTGGGTGGTCAGATCACTGTGATGTCAGAGAAGAGTGGCAAGGGGCATTAAGGACACACTGAGTGCATGCTAGGCTGGGGGCTGATGACACCAAGTGCAATCATAGTCCTAGAGACTCTGGCTCGGGATACCATACCAATAGTCACAGTCAGATCTGAGGAATGAAATCTGGGCTACAGGGGAGGGTGGGTCTCGAAAACAATGCAGAAGCTCTTCAACAGTCTGCCCACAGAAGGGCATTTGGAGAGGCTCAGGGCTGCTGCTGGTCCTAAGCAGGTAGGGAAGGCATGAGGGGCTTAAGCTCTGTAGGAAAAGGAGCCACAGAGAGGTGGCAGCTGCAGATGGTTTTTGAGAGGTGGGGATTTTTGTCTTTTCTTGTTTCCAGTCACCCTGGTTTCTTGAGAAAGTGAGTTGAGTGGGTGTTGGGTTGTGCTAGCTGGGACACGAATAGCTTAATAAGCTTCAGTATTCTACCATTGGGACCACATGTTTTTTCATTTGAAATCCTGAGAATCTGTCTACCACCCTGAATGAGCAATCTCATCTGAAATCCTGACAATGGTGGGTATGAAAGATGTTAAAGGAGTAGCACATGTTGGGAAAGCTATATCTTGATTGCTAATTGATCGGTTTGAGAGACACTTAAGAGATGAGTAAAGCATGCTTCTAGGTGTGTTTGTGTGTGTCCTGGGTGTGACCTCGGGGACTATATCTGGTTCCCGGCCCCTTCTTCTCTGGTCCCTCCTTCTGGCCGTCAACTGAACAGCTTTGCTCTAACACACCCCTCTGGCATGATATTTCTGCTTTGGAGCCAGCCAGCCGTGGACTGAAACCTGTGAAATTGTGAGCCAAAATAAAGCTTTTCTCTTTTAAATTGTGAATGTCAGGAATTTTATCTCAGGCATGGAAAGAGGATCACCATATGACTTCTGGCCTTTTTGGTTACTATTACTCTCTGTTAGCACTTTCTGTCACTCTTACTTCTAGTCATAGTAGTCCCATCACTGCTCTTGAGATATGTCTCAGTGTCTTT